AAAAAAAAAAGATAACAGGATTCTAGTAACAGCGGAGGTAAAAACCCATCGGATGTACACCTATTTAAAACGGATACCACCTTCTAGCTAACAGAATAAAAAAGGGAAAAAAAAAAAAAAAAAAAAAACCCACACATTAGATTTCTTATTTCACTATTGTACAATACTTTGGCTGAATATACAGTCCTGACCGCTGCACTCTATGTATGCTATGTCGTGTTCCAGTCCTGATGGCTGAACCCCATGTGCTATGTTGTATGCTACATAGTCCTGATGGCTGAACCCCATGTGCTATGTTGTATGCTACATAGTCCTGATGGCTGAACCCCATGTGCTATGTTGTATGCTACATAGTCCTGATGGCTGTACCACATTCATTATGCTGTATATTGCAGAGTCCGAATGAACACGCCTTGCTGCTGAACACGCCTTGCTGCTGAACACGCCTTGCTGCTGAACACGCCTTGCTGCTGAACACGCCTTGCTGCCTTGCTGCTGAACACGCCTTGCTGCACTAAAGGCAAAGACCACTTCTGCAAGTCCAATTTCACCCTACAAGGGCATTTGCTTTCAGAGCTCATTAAAAAGGACATGAAGCTCTGCTGACTTCCATTATCCAACTATGCGCAAGCAAAAACCGCCTTTTTTTATTTTCCTTGCACATGTGAAAACTTCACCTCATTTACTAAACTCTGGAGAAAATGCCTTTGTAAGTGCAGTAGCACCCTGCAAAGTGCAAAGTCGATTTGCCTAGGTTTTATGTTATACAGTCCTGTGTACATACTATGTTGTATTTTACAAAATCCTGACCACTGCACTCATCTACATGCAATTAGCATTTTCAAAAGGTGGTCATTACCTGCTCTACTAACCAGAGATCACCAACACAAGAAATGAGGGAAGACCACCCCAATGGTGACAGAGTAATAAAATCCAAACAGGTTCTAAACCTTATCTATTCTACCGATAACTAAAGAAAATAATGTGGCTGCATTTTCTCTTTCCGCATCCAAAATACATTTACATGGCTTTCTGAAGAGCAAAAATAGACCAACCTGTACAGCTTGTGGTAATCCTCCACAATCTGCCATCTAGGAATAAATTAAACAGATCATGAGTAAAGTCAGAATGTCCAAATCATTTTTTTTTTATATACATCAATCAAGTGAAGAACTCACAGCTGAATATTTACATTCCCCAGAAGGCAGAATAGTATTCACAAAGACCAAATCACTGTAACAAGGACATCAGATGGAAGTGATAGGCGGCCATTATTCCGGAGTCAGTAATTTCATAGTCAATAGCAGAGCTAATTTCAAGTCAATTATTAAGGGGTCCAAAATCCAACCAAAATTGGATCTTGTGCATCACTATTTTTTTCAATACTAAAAAGGAAAAAAAGAAAATAAGAAAGAAGAGGAAAGAAGAGGAAAGAAGAAGAGGAAAGAAGAGGAAAGAAGAAAGAAGAAAAGAAGAGGAAAGAAGAGGAAAGAAGAGGAAAGAAGAGGAAAGAAGAGAAAGAGAGAAAGAAGAGGAAAGAAGAGAAAGAAGAAAGAAGAGGAAAGAAGAGGAAAGAAGAAAAGAAGAAGGGTCAAAAGCGCTTTTGGCCTTCCATCTATCAATCACAGTGCACTTCGTTCTGCACTCCTCTGGCCCGTTTTCAGCTGACAGCAGTCTTTAGCCATCACAGAGCCAGTCCAGGCTCTGGAAGGATCCGGGCTTTAACGTTGAGATCCACCCAGATGCATGAACCAGCAGCTGACTCAGCCTCTCAGCAAGCCATTGAGAGCCTGAGCAAGCCTTTCCTACTCCCTCCACAGCCTGGAGATCCAGTGTGCGCTGGAGGAGCAGAGCCGATGACAGACAGTCATGGGCTCACTGAGGACCAGGACCAGTCTTTGATGCTCATTTCTCGGTCTTACAAGTAATAGGGGAGAGATGCAGCATTGAACCAAAGCTGCATCCACCTAGGTGAGTACGCAGGTTTTTTTTTTTTTCCCCTACAGAATCCTGGACCACTCTAAAAAACACACTGCACAAAAACCCTGAGTATCTCCAACATTCTGCCTTTCCACACACATGAACCTTAATGGCCCCCCAGTCTTAGTCCGTAGGGTTTAATATTGAGTTGGCCCCGCCCTTTGCAGCTATAACAGCTTCAACTCTTCTGGGAAGGCCGTCTACAAGGTTTAGGAGGGTGTCTATGGGAAGGTTGGACCATTCTTCCAGAAGCACATTTGTGAGGTCAGGCACTGATGTCGGGGGAGGAGGCCTGGCTCGCAGTCTCTGCTCTAATCCATCCCAAAGGTGTTCTATGGGGTTGAGTTCAGGACTCTGTGCAGGCCAGTCTGTAGATGCAGTAAAGAATGCTTGTTATACTCCCTGTGGATCCTAAGGGGTTAATCCTCTGCATTGCATAAAAAAAAAAAAAAAAAAAACACACAGTTTTAGCCTCCATCTGCACCTCCTCTTGTTCAAAATGTTTACATCTTATCTCCTGATAAAACAGACTGAACCCGTAGCCACATGCTCAGTATAGTGTGTATTGCTAGAGCTTTTTTTTCTTGGGAGTGCACAAGTGATCAGCACAGTGCCAATCAGCACTGTCCAGAGGTCAGGGGTTTTGCATTCTCCTAGAGAATAAAGAAAACTCCTCCTTTAAGCTTTAACCAGTGCTCTACTGAAGTCACAAGACTGCCCTAACTGCTGATGAGAGAAAAAAAAAGTATTTAGCAGTTTATTTAATAAAATAATTGCACTTCCACATTGTGTGTACTTGTGGGAGACCAGATATCGTGAATGCAAGGTCCTGGGTTTAGTAACACTAAGAATTCCCTTCACTGGAACAAAGCTCAACCACTGAAAAAAAAAAAAAAAAAAAAAAAAAAAAAAAAAAAAAAAAAAAAACACACCAACAAAAAAAACCCCCACACCACCATAATCCCCCTCCACCAAAAACTTTACACAATGCAGTCAGGCAAGTACCGTCCTCATGGCAACTGCCTAACCCAGACACATCCATCGGATTGCCAGCGAAGCGCGATTAGTCACTCCAGAGAAAACGTCACTGCTCTAGAGTCCAGTGGTGCGTGCTTCACACCACGGCATCCGAAACTTTGCATTGCACTTGGTGATGTAAGGCTTGGATGCAGCTGCTCGGCCATGGAAACCCATTCCATGAAGCTCTCTACGCACTGTTGTTGTGCTAATCTGAAGGCCACACCAAGTTGAGGTCTTTAGCTATTGACTCTGCAGACAGTTGGCGACTTCTGCGCACTGTGCGCTTCAGCATGCGCCGACCCCGATCTGTCGTTTTACGTGGCCTACCACTTAGTGGCTGAGTTGCTGTTCCCAGTTGCTTACACTTTGTAATACCAGTATGGGCTCATTCACACTTGACTAATTTTTAACTCTTGCCAAATGCCCCTATAGCGTTGGACAGGCGTTTGAGGAGCATTAAAAATGCTTCCCTAATGGTATTAACGCTTCGCAAATGCCTCACATGGAATGAAAAATTTGGCAACATTGCATCATTGATTTTTTCCATTCTTCAAGAACAACTTTTTAGAGCCTGGATACTGAATGGAGAGCGTTGTTCAATTTGCCTCTTCAGAATTACCCATAGGTGTTAGATTGGGTTCAAATCTGCATACATACTTGGCCATTGGATCACTTTCACCATGTTAGTCTTCAGAAATTCAACAATGGCCTTAGAGGTGTGCTTTGGATCATTGTCAGGTTGGAAAAAGGGCACAACGACCAAGGGCATGAAGTGATGGTAGCATCTTCTCTTTCAATATAGAGCAGTACATCTGAATTCCTGATACCATCAGTGAAATGCAGCTCCCCGACACAGTCAGCACTCATGCAGCCCCCCAGAAGGACATTGCCACCAGCATGTTTCACTGAAGGCACCATGTATTTTTCTTTGTACTCCTCACCTTTGCAAGGCCATACAGTTTTGAAGCCATCGGTTCCAAAAACATTTATCTTGGTCTCATCACTCCAGAGTACAGAGTCACAGTAGTCTTTGCCAAGGCCCATTCTGACAATTTCTAGGTGGGCTTTTTTGTGCATGGGATATAGAAGAACCTTCATTCGTGGACTCATCATCTCATCAGAAGACGTTCCTTTCGAGGTATTAACTTCTGTGGACAACCTGGATGTCTGAGACACTTGCAGTTCCACCTTTGTTAAATTTTTGTATCACTTTTGCTACAGTATTCTGGCAGATAAGTAAAGCTTTGCTGATCTTCTTGTAGCCTTGGCCTTGTGTAAAGGAATTTTCTCTCTCAGGGCTTGTGACCTCTCTCTATGTGGCACCATTGCTGACAGCATGAAATGGGAGGGGTTCTTTTTGTTAAGTAACGCCCTTTTATAAGCAACTGTCTGCTGGACACCTTTTTAATGAATAATTAGACTTGCCTGGAGTTGAATTCCTAAGGATTTTGTCTAAAATTTAGCTTTGCTCCTAATGCAGACCATACATGTGTCAAATTCCAAACAAATTTTCTTAGAAAATCAGAAATTGAATTTTGAAATCAATGGTGGCAACATGGGATTACAAAACGCACAACCAACCAAGCCTTCAATTTCACCTCATGTTACAGGAAAAAAAAAAAAAAAAAAAAAAAAAAAAAAAGGAAATACTTGTGGCCAAGAAATTCTTTTCTTCCCAGGTGACGGCTCATGCTCATTTCTTTTTCGATTATATTTCTTACACAATTCTCCCATCATGAATTCAAAATTTGTTAGTTTTTCTCCAAACAATTCCCAACCTGCCTGTTCACTCAAATTCGATTTCTGTGACCCACTAATGATTCGAAAATCTTTTCTAACAATTTTCGTTCAAACTTCGCAAGAAAAGTCTTTCGGAATTCGACACATTATGGCCGGGCTTAAGACTTTCATTGGGGTGTATTCATTTTTACAATATGGTCTTGAATGAGTTTGTTAGGAAAAATACTTTGTGTATGAAAATTAACAAATCTTGTTTGCAATCAATTGCCCACATTTGTGGGAGTATTTTGTGGCAGTGTCCCTTTAAAAAAAAAAAAAAAAAAAAAAAAAGTTGATTCTGAAAGGAATGTAAAGGTTTTCTGAGAAATCTGTTGGGAGATATAGATTTCCCCCCCCCCCCCCACATACAAGGATACCTTAAGAAGTGTTGTTCTTGTTGGGTCTAATCTTGAGTTACATTCCACCTGGAAAGAAGACATTGTGGTTAAGTTTTCACAGGTATAGCGGGGACTGGATAAAAGTATTCTTCCATTCTATCCCTATGACAGTAGGACAAGAACAGAGGGGGAAAATAGGGATCATTAGAAAAGAAACAGGACAATTAAAACATGGAGGCTTTAACTCTTCTCTTGTGTCCCCTCTTTAGACCCCTCCCCCCAACACAGAGCAGAACAGAAGGGAAATTTCCACACCAAAGCAAGTGTCACAAAACGCCACTTACCACAACATCAACTGCAGGAGAATTGTCACCAACCACCAGGAGAGCTGGGCACCTAAAAAAGGAAACACTTCCCTTATCACAATCTTATTGGAAATCTATGAAATTGCATATAGCCCTAAAAAATACTGACAGATTGCCATCAGCTGATCTGAGATCCTAAAGTATCAGATAAACCCAGCTATCCTCTACAAGGCAAATTACCATGCCTTTGCATGGAACGATAATGTGAACATTTAAAGTTTGCGTCTTCGCAACATGAAGTTTTTTTTTCTTGCCTCAACTAAAAAAAAATAAATTAAAATTTATACACACACACACACACACACACACACACACACACACACACATATATACACACACACATATATACACACACATATATACACACACATATATACACACACATACTTTTTTTTTTAAAGGTCTTTGCATTACCACATTGTCAAGGAATCAACACTGTGCCCAAAATTCCAGCAATTTAGCGGGTAGGACAACTTCCGCTTTGAATCGCCTAGGTCAGCCTCTCTCAACCTTTTCAATGCAGAGGAACCCTTGACATAACTTTTGGGTCTCGGGGAACCCCTGCTAAAAATGGCTTAATCTACAAGTCATGATACATTAGTGTGATAGAGGTAAGAATGCTCCTTACACTTGGTCATTGGAAGAATTACCCCCTTACAGACAGTTAAAAAGACCAATGGGGTCAGTGGGAACTTACCCAAAGGGGCAAAAACTGCTCACTGCTCAAGGAACCCCTGGCAACCTCTGGAGGAACCCTAGTTGAGAAACCCTGGCCTAGGCGATAACAGCGGAAGTGGGATCTGGTACCTGTCAAAAAACAGGTACCCCCGCTACTCAAAAGCTGCCAATTCCTCATGGGGAACGAGGAATCCGTAATTAAAGAGGAACTTTCCCTTTTGGGTGGAGCTCTGCTTTAATGAAGTAAAACTCTGCTGACTTCCATCATCCAATCATGTGCAAGCAAACTGTTATTTTCCTTGCATGTGATCGGTAAAATTTCGCTTAGCAAGAAATACCCACATTCACCAAGCCAAGCGAAAATTCCCTTGGAAAGCTAACAGCCCATTTGCCTTTGGTAAAATCAACCCTTATGGGTTTGAAAACGTTTCTGTAGCTTTTCAAGAATTCTTACAAGGAACTGATTTTGCAGAGGTATTCTTGCAAACACATAGGCATCTAAGGTAATCAGTGACGCAGCTGAAATATTCAAAAACTTAACCAAAAAGTGCCTTTCTGGTAAAATGGTCACATGACATACACATAGGGAAATGACATGCATCTCTGGATTGCAAAAGTTACTTACTTGAGCGTTCCCACTGAATTATTCGATGCAAGAACCGGTCTTTCTATGTCAAGATCTTTGCGGCTGGTTAATGGGAAAAAAAAAAAAAAAAAAAAAAAAAAGGATATAATGCTTTTCATGATAACAAGGATTACCATGGACTGATAGATCTCAGAAGTAAATACAAAATGTGACTCTAAAAACATTCCACTTGCAAAAAGGAAAGGAAATATTAAAAAAAGTCTAATTCCAACCCCAAACCTTCATTTCCCTACATGATTCTGATTTGTTTGTATACATAAAAGTTTTTAAATATCATCTGACATATCACATGACACAGGGTCCCCTCCTTTGCATCTAGTATTGTGTAGTGGATGAGGAGTCACACTGATGCAGTCAGCATAGCTCCCCCCCATGGGGTGTGTCCGTGACAGTCTGGATGACGCCGGGCGCCACTCAGTCCAGAAGAGGACTAGCTCTGGAGCCTAGTCTTCAGGAACCATGCTGGTGAGTTGAATACTGCAGCTAGAACTACATTTTTTATTTTTTAAACACACACTGTACTGAAAATGGGCCTTGATTGACCCGGCACGATTACCTATTATAAGAATTCAAGAAAAGCTGAAGGTTTTCTTGGTTGATGTCTTGAGCAATATGTAATCTGTAGGTCTGAATGAGATCTAGATTTTGATTGAAGTTCATCCTGTGAGAAACATACAAAGGTTACTGAAAATAAGACAAATGAGATTAATGAAAAACCAGTAACACTGGAGAGAGGTCTGGTGTACAAGAAAAGACAGCAAGCCACTAGAAAATAATTTGTTGAATTATAGCCGTGTCACAGGAAATAGAAAATAAATCTAATAAAAAGAACCACACACACACACACACACGCTCATTTCATTTCAATCAAAAATACTTAAAAAGGTTTTAGATTTTTTTTTTTTCTTCATCACACACCTCAGTGACAGTTTCTCAAGTCTTAGTGGCTATACAGCAAAGCATTGTTACCATGTAAAAAGAAATTCTAACTAATATATTTGTACCCTTGTTTTGTTTAGGCAAACCCACCCATTGAAAATGCTGCAATATCTGCTCTGGTGTGTCCCAACAAAAAACCCCCCCCCAAAAAAAAAAAAAAAAAAAAAAGCCAAAAAAAAAAAACCAATAAAAAAACAAAAACAAAAACAAAACAAAAACAAACAAAACAAAAACAAAAAAAACAAACAAACAAAAACAAACAAAAACAAACAAACAAAAACAAACAAAAACAAACACTTATTGACCATGCCAGTAAACCCCTGCTTTGATGACTAACCAGTTACGATTATTCCCAGTTCTCTGTGGGCTAGAAAACATCTCCCCCTATGTTATGCAACAAGAGGGGGTTGGTTCTGTAGTCCTAACATTTTCTGTCCCAAGACAACATTGCATCTCCATAGAGTACAGTGGGTGAGCATTCTTATCCTAGGAAAGGAAGTGTCCTGATTGGTAGGATCACTGGAGAAAAAAAAAAAAAACTGAAAAAATAACTAAGCGCCTACAAGTACGGTGAAATGTACCAAGTTTTGTTCTTGGGTTTAGATTAAGTAGATCAGGATAACTATACTTACATATCCAAAGAGGTGAGCCAGAACAATGTCCACAACATTAGATGTCCATCCCAGAAAGCTGTAACAGAAGGACACATTGAAGTAAAAGGCACATGTTCAATCAGTCCGAACATCCTCTCTTCTATAACTAGACCGAAGACTGTCAAGTTAGGGAATCCGCATAAAAACCATTAGATTTCTTGCCATACCCCACAACCTATCTCATGGCCAAGGGCAGCCACCAATCCAGCCTTTCCCATTCAGCAGCGCCAAATCTGGTGTCAATGGGTACCTCAACTTTCTGCATACAAAAAGTAGCACAAACCAGTCTTTTCCTGAAGATAAAATTCTGTACCTTGGAAGCCGCCCAATCAATCCATCCCTTGGCACAGGGGTCAATGTTGATGAGTACAAGGCCCTCCACCAGTTCAGGGTGGTCAAGCTGCATTGGAGAAAAAAAAAAAAAAAAAAAAAAAGTCTTGTAAAATATTCGAGCAGATCTAAGACAACTACATTGAACACAGGCATGAGCACAAACGGAACATGAAATCTTTAGCTAGGATCACTCTAAAGGTCTCATTCTCAAGACCCAGCAGGGGTCCCTGGCAATTTGCTGCAGGTAGAGGCCCCCCTTTTGAAGCAATGGGTGCTTGCAGGTTCAGCAGCTAATCACTGCCACTCACATGCAACTGGTGAAGCAGAGATTACCTGCTAATAATTGGCCCTGGGTGCAGACTGTTTGCATCCAGGGCCGAACATTTGCAGGTAATCGCTCCATGAACAATTACAAGTGTGTTGTCAGCTTTCCATTATTTTCATTGGGGCTTCTGCCACACTTACTCAGTGTTAACGCCAGGCGTGTTTAGTGTCAATCATTTATTCTGGCCTTAGAAATGAATTAACTTAGCCAATGAAATAAAGCCCAAATACCTGACGTGGCTAAATGTCCCTAAAAGCCTCAAGCATTTTTCTGACAAAATGCCACTGCCAAGAGGAATGGTGTTTAGGAGAGTTAGAAAAACATCCAGAGTGCATAAAGCCTAACTCTAGGTTCACACCTATGTTTTCTGCGGAAACGCAGTACAGTCCATTTAATATGATTTCTTATGGAACATGCTCACATCTGCGCATTTTCACCCCGTTGCGTTTTTTTGGAAAGGGTCAGGGACTTTTTTGAACGCAAAAAGTTGCTTTTTTGGTTCTATAGACTTCAATGGAAATGCTGCAGAAAAGCATGTATTGCATTTTAAAATCTGCTGAGCAACAAGGAGGAAAAAAAAAAAAAAAAAAAAAAAAAAAAAAAAAAAAAGGGTGAGCCGTTTTCTGCATTGCGTTTTTGCACCACCCTTTTTTTTTTTTGCTGCAGTGTGCCATCTTTAGGGCTGTAGAAATGTATACCATTGGTCTCTGGTCATGTGTTGTGGTTTACTGTGTGCTATGTACAGAAACATTTATTTATTTTTTTGAAAGGACAAACTGTTTAAGGCTAGGTTCAATCTATGCAGTTGCGTTTGAGCAGTTTTCTGCATTGCGTTTTTGCACCAAACACAACCTGCATAGATGTGAACCTAGCCTTAAACAGTTTGTCCTTTCAAAAAATAAATAAATGTTTCTGTACATAGCACACAGTAAACCACAACACATGACCAGAGACCAATGGACCAATGGTATACATTTCTACAGCCCTAAAGATGGCACACTGCAGCAAAAAAAAAAAAAAAAAAAAAAAAAAAAGTACTACTGCGATCTGGACATCCACCTAATTTGCCCTCAACTTGCAGTTCATCTGCGGTGCAAACACATTAGTTTAACAGCAGTTGTCAGTGGTGTACCCCAAGATTCAGTGTTATTAGTGGGGGACCCTAGGGTTCAGTGTTGAGACCCTGTTTAATATATTTATAAATGATATAGGGTCTGGGATTATAAATCACATTTCAGTCTCTGCAGATGACACCAAGCTGTGCCGGGGGAATAACGTCCTTACAGGATGTCTCCAATTTACAAGCCGACCTCAATGCTCTGTGTAATTGGGCAACTATGTGACCAATGAGGTTTAATGTTGATAAATGTAAGGTTATGGACTTGGGGGCTAAGAATATGCATGCATCATACATACTAGGGGGGGTACAACTGGGGGAATCAATGGTGAAGAAGGATCTGGGAGTTCTGGTAGATCAAAGCTTAATAATGGCAGCAATGCCAAGCTGTGGATTCTAAAGTGAGCAAAATCCTCTCTTGTATTATAAGAGGTATAGGAAAGAGAGAGAGAGAGAGAGAGAGAGGTGAGAGAGAGAGAGAGAGAAGAGAGAGAGAGAGAGAGAGCAGAGAGAGAGAGAGAGAGAGAGAGAGAGAGAGAGATTTGAGAGAGAGGAGAGAGAGAGAGAGAGAGAGAGAGAGAGAGAGAGAATCCCCCCCCCGGTACAAATCATTAGTAATACCTCATCTGGAATATGCAGTTCCGTTTTGGGCACCTCACAAAAAGAACATTGGGGAACTGGAGAAAGTACAGAGAAGGGCAACCAAACTGATAAGAGGCATGGAGGAGCTCAGCTATGAGGAAAGATTAGAGGAACTGAATTTATTCTCTCTTGAGAAGAGGAGATTAAGGGGGGGTTATGATCTCCATGTATAATACATAAGGGGGGGGTTATGATCTCCATGTATAATACATAAGGGGGGGTTATGATCTCCATGTATAATACATAAGGGGGGGTTATGATCTCCATGTATAATACATAAGGGGGGGGTTATGATCTCCATGTATAATACATAAGGGGGGGGTTATGATCTCCATGTATAATACATAAGGGGGGGGGTTATGATCTCCATGTATAATACATAAGGGGGGTTATGATCTCCGTGTATAATACATAAGGGGGGGGATATGATCTCCGTGTATAATACATAAGGGGGGGATATGATCTCCATGTATAATACATAAGGGGGGATATGATCTCCGTGTATAATACATAAGGGGGGGATATGATCTCCGTGTATAATACATAAGGGGGGGGATATGATCTCCGTGTATAATACATAAGGGGGGGATATGATCTCCATGTATAATACATAAGGGGGGGATATGATCTCCATGTATAATACATAAGGGGGGATATGATCTCCATGTATAATACAATAAGGGGGGATATGATCTCCATGTATAATACAATAAGGGGGGGATATGATCTCCATGTATAATACATAAGGGGGGGGGGATCTCATGTATAAATACCCCCAGGGGGGGGGGGGGTGATATGATATGATCTCCCATGTAAAAATACATAAGGGGGGGATATGATCTCCATGTAAAATACATAAGGGGGGATATGATCTCCATGTAAAATACATAAGGGGGGGGGATATGATCTCCATGTAAAATACATAAGGGGGGGGGGGGATATGATCTCCATGTAAAATACATAAGGGGGGGGGGGATGATCTCCATGTATACTACATAAGGGGGGATATAGCTCCATGTATACTACATAAGGGGGGGATATGATCTCCATATATACTACATAAGGGGGGGATATGATCTCCATGTATAATACATAAGGGGGGATATTTTTGATCTCCATGATAATACATAAGGGAGGATAGGATCTCCATGTATAATACATAAGGGGGGATATGATATCTCCATGTATAATACATAAGGGGGGATATGATCTCCATGTATAATACATAAGGGGGGATATGTGATCTCCATGTATAATACATAAGGGGGGGAATATGATCTCCATGTATAATACAATAAGGGGGGGGGATATGAATCCTCCATGTATAAAAACAATAAGGGGGGATTGGATATGATCTCCATGTATAATACAATAAGGGGGGGGGATATCTCCATGTATAATACATAAGGGGGGGATATGATCTCCATGTATAATACATAAGGGGGGGATATGATCTCCATGTATAATACATAAGGGGGGGATATGATCTCCATGTATAATACATAAAGGGGGGGATATGATCTCCATGTATATAATAAAAGGGGGGATATGATCTCCATGTATAATACATAAGGGGGGGGGATAAAGATCTCCATGTATAATACATAAGGGGGGTATAATCTGGATGGACTTTTGTCCTTTTTTCAGCCAAACTAACTATGTAACACAAGTCTGAACAGGCTGAATTTATTTTTACTATAAAAATACATATACTTACTGCAAATTTGGACAACACATAGGCACCGGCTCCAACCCCAATCCCTATGACAGACTTTAGGCTGAAAAAAAAAAAAATCAAATCAATCAAAAACCCCAGTAAACTAAAATATACTTTAGATAATGGCTTTTCTAAAATTCCTCAACAAGGGAATGCATCTGTAATGGAAATATTGCGGCACAGCAGCATCTTTTAGCTCCCAGGGAAGGTATGGAAGAAGTGGGTCTGCGATAAGGTAGATACAATGGCATTGCTGCATCCTGGCAGCCCATAGAAGGCTGGTTACAACGTGTGATGTTAAGCTAGCACCAGTTTGTTATAGGATGGCGTATTCTATGAATGAACAAAACGATACCCAGCTCCAGTCCTCAATGCTAGTCACAAGTCCATGTTTTTTGTTTGCTTTCAGATCTGACTAAAGTTATCTGCACATTAGCCATAAAAAAAAAAAAAAAAAAAAAAAAAAAAAAAAAAAAAAAACACAAAAGTACTGGACTGGCTATACAGCACATAAATCTGAATATGTTCATCACAATGCATTGATAGATGGGGTCCATCTAGTAACTGAAAAGGATAAAGTTCACTTTTTAGAAAACACACACACCTGACTGTGTAAGATTTCTGGAATCATTCTTTGCATCTTAAAAATCACCCTCATTTATCCCTATTGACAGTCTGTGCGGTTAAGGTCTGTGACCACCCTGTGCAGAATGTCCTGTGACCCAACAGTGCAGTCATAGATACGCCCCCATCTCTCACACACAGCAGACATTACATCACTAACTAGCAAAATCGCAGAGATAATTCATGAATTAAACATTGGAGAGTGATAAAGCTATGATAGGGGGTTTATTTGGGACTTTGTTACCCATCTACTTTAAAACCGTAAAAAAAAAAATCCAAATAAAAAAAAAAATAAAAAAATAAAAAAAAGCTGCAGTTCAGCTGCAATACATTTAATTTTCTAGAGCAGTGGTTCTCAACCACCAGGTCATGGCCTCCACTTTAAATCTCCATCAGCTGCAGCTTCTTGACCTCCCACAATACCCCCTCCCCCCGACCTCCCATACTGGCCCGCAATGCCCTCATCCTCTCAGTGACCCCAGCCTACTGCAGAGAATTCAGCACTCCACAGTGCCCTCAACCACCAACAGTGTCCCATCTTGCCCCTGAACCAGGCCTGACCAGAGGGCACACCAGACATTTGCCTGGTGCCACCTGGATAGGAGGGGCGGCACATAGTGGAACCGGACTGTACATGTCTCACCTGCCACCACCGAGTGCCTGCTTCTCCTCCTCTCCCTCCTGCAGACACAGTGACAGCATGTGAGAAATGCAGTCTGGTTCCTCTATATGCTGCCCCAGAAGCCCCTCTTATCCATCTCCTGCTGCTGTATGCTACCACTGCAATTTCCCCCCTCCCTCCCCCCGCAACAATGCTGTTGGGTTCTGTAAGGATAGAATGTCCATTGTGCTGACAGTTTCTCTCCCCCCACCAGGGGCAGGAGAGAAGAAAAGCTGGTTTTTCACCTCCTCCCACCCTCTCCTCCTGCGTTAGCCTGCTCCTTCCCCACACACCAAACGGGGAAAAAAAAAAAAAAAAAAAAAAAAAATTACATACATAAAAGATAAATATACACAAAAGATACACACACACACATACACACACACACACACACACACACACACACACACACACACACACACACACACACACACACTTTTTTTAAACACGATTGCGGGTGTGTTTTTTTTTTTTTTAAGTTGATACCCTGAAATCAGTTTTCAAAACGTGGTGTGATGTTCAGATCCGATTCTAGTGCGGACCAATAAAAATTAAAAAAAAAAAAAAGTCCTGCACTATGCACAAAATGTATGGCTCAAATCGCACCGCACAGAATTTGCGCAGGAATATACAGTGCAGTTCCTGTGCGAATCACATGCGGTATGTTGCACTGCACAAGTGTGATCCCAGGCTAAGTGTATATGTCCAGCAAAATGTATCCTAGATTTACATAAACAATCACTTATTTCTTACCTCAAGTGTGTTAGGACAGCAGGTAACATCTCAGCCAAGTCATCCATTGTAGGATACTGGTATCTGGAATAGACAAAAAACGGCTATAAAAAGAAGAAATAAATTATACAGCTACATGCATCAATATATACACCAAAGCAAAATCCATCAAGATAAATATATAACCAACAATGACAGGACAACCCACATAATATAAAACATTTTCCAGCATACGTGCCAATTTTTTTTTTTAGAACAAAAAAAAGGGATGTATACATAAAAACATGTAAAAGACGACAGATGGTGCTCTGTATAACACGTTTAATAATGCTAAAAAAAGTTAAAAAAAAAAAAAAAAAAAGAGCACATCAAGCGCCATCAATAGCACTCCAATAAACACAAGGCTCTGTACCCATCTCCTTCACACTGCAATCCCCATTCATTATGGCTGCGGGATGACATCACAGGCGTGGCTCCACCCCCTATCCGTTACGTCCGTAGGCAGGACATCCTCAGTAGGATCTTTACATTTATTATTTGAACATAGATTGATTTAGGATAGGTTGTGCTACACTTTGGTTTGATGTTGGGGGTGTAGTGAGTTCACCGATTGTGTATATGCTTGCAACTGGCAATTTATGTGAATATTTTACACAGTATGCAGAAATTAGGGGCCATCAGAAGCCTTCTGAGCTGCGCTGTACAACGGCTGCTGTATAAGTTCATTGTGCTGTGGCATTTGGTTCCTAAATCCCTACCTCACTTGCTGCAAAAAAAAACCACTTCACAATCCTGCCAGGGCAGTCTATAAGATGCATTCAAACAAATATCCTGGCATTGGCCAAAACATTTGATACTTTTGGATTGGAGCCAGACGATCTAAACAGTCCTAGGAAACCCAACACCCAATTAAAAAAACTTAAAAAAAAAAAAAAAAACTAGCTGATTGCAAAGCCATCAACATATAGAACCATAGAACAGTTTCGGGAGTCTCCAGCCTTTCTCAAGTTCAAATCAAACAGTCATTCTATGGTTTTTTTTTTGTTGTGTTGTACAAGGATATTTTTGGATAAAAAGTTTCCATTACGGCCCTGCATTCCCAGTGCTCTTTTGATCTATATGCGAATAACTATCTAGATGTAAACCTAGATCCCTTCTTTAACATTGCGGTACCTTAACCTCCCTAGCAGTCTGATTATGTCCATATTGCTGTGCTCAAGCGGTACATTTAGCATGGAAATATGTAGTTTTTTTATTGTAGGCCGGACAGATTTCAGTGAGTTATTCCTAAAAAAATTACAGAACAAGGTCTAGTAAACATCCCGGATATGATAAAATTTGAAACACAAAATCATAAATTAGAATTTAATAATCATAAAAAAAATTAAAATTCAATAATATACTCAAATCAAAAACACTGAATTTTGAAATATAGCGCCAAGTTCACACATCACTGCACAACGTCGCAAAATCGTTTTCAGTGTCCGACGACGAATTTCCCCACGAATCATTATCACTCAATTCTGCAAGTGTTCTCTAGCCGGTCTAAAACGGCTTTTGACCTAAAAGGGACGCTTTTTGGACACCATGGACATTTCTCAGTTTCCAGACAGAAAGAACAGTAAAAATGCAGGCAGGGCGCTGGACAAAATGTGAAATTGTTTGCTACAGTAATGTTTTACTATTGTGATTTTAGTGAATGTCAGTAAATCACAAGATAAGTGAGCGCTTAAAATAGATGATAAAAATGAATAAAATTGAATAAAAATGAGACAATAGCAGCTGAACACCAAAAAAAGGTACCGTATAAACCTCCAAAATAATCAGAATACATAAAGGGGGAGGTGCAGCGCTAACTTAATGTGCTTAGAGCATATACACACATTTATGTAAAACAGTATTAAGGTGCAAATAAAGTGCAATAAAGATGACTATCGATAATTAAACATAGTCCATAACGTGATCAAGAAAGATCCCAAGAAGATCTTCAAAGAACCCCAATGGCTGGATTCGTGGGTGAGGTGATAAATGTGTAAAGATTGCGCACTCACCAGATACGCAATCCAAATGCGCATTCAAAGCAGATATTCTCAGGACATCCTAGGATCCTCATATGGGTCTGGTCAGATCTGGTCAAGAGCCCCTTGCCACTTTATAAGATACTGACCATGCATATAAGTTTGCAAATGGCCGCCGGGGCCCTCGTGGTGCCGTCGGCCTAAAGGGAGCGGCTACAGCGGTGTGACGTCACGCCGACCGGCGCCACGAGGGCCCCGGCGGCCATTTGCAAACTTATATGCATGGTCAGTATCTTTCCTGCTCCTGCCTGTATTGTGTATTTTTTGGGAATAAATACCCCTTTGCCATTAAGGTATCACACTATTTGGCCTCCTTTTGTTCTTTGGGCTCCAATGGGAGCCATTCACATCTGCAGAGCGGCCTTTTTTTTTCATTCAATACTATAAAGTGGCGAGGGGCTCTTGACCAGATCTGACCAGACCCATATGAGGATCCTAGGATGTCCTGAGAATATCTGCTTTGAATGCGCATTTGGATTGCGTATCTGGTGAGGTGCGCAATCTTTACACATTTATCACCTCACCCACGAATACAGCCATTGGGGTTCTTTGAAGATCTTCTTGGGATCTTTCTTGATCACGTTATGGACTATGTTTAATTATCTATAGTCATCTTTATTGCACTTTATTTGCACCTTAATACTGTTTTTACATAAATGTGTGTATATGCTCTAAGCACATTAAAGTTTAGCGCTGCACCTCCCCCTTTATGTATTCTGTTTAGTGAATGTCACTTTATTTTCAAATTTCCCGCCAGTTCCATCCCCGTACGTCCCAACGTCGCAGGGAACACAACCCAGAAGACAGATGCCGGCATCGGCCGGGGGACATTGCAGGGGGGGACATCGCGGGAGCGCAGGACAAGGTAAGAGAAGAACAGATCCCGGAGCAACGCCGCATGGTAAGCCTGAGTGTAGCTCAGGGTTACCGCTTTTGATGCTGAAACTTTACCCCGAGCTACACTCGGGAATACCGCCAGGGAGGCTACTGAACTCCTGTTCTTGGTATTCCTACCACTTCCGACAACTCCCCATCTCACCTTTCCAAGGTTCTTTGTCCATCGTCATCTGTTCTCATCCCTTGAGACACAGCCATTTTTGGTTTTCATTTAATTTTTTCTATAAACCCTTTGAATTCTTTTTTGCCATGTTGTGCTTACTGTATGCATTGTAAGACTTTTAATTACAAAAAAAAAAAAAAAAAAAAAAAACTTAAATAAAAATAGTGAAAGTGTATAAACTGGCAGCTCTATGGACACAGAAGTAATGAACATGCATCTTCTCAAATTCTGTGTTAAAACTATCCAACCACTACAATGTAGCCCCCCCCCCCCCCCCTCTTCAAAGATAAGGGTGCCTTCAGGTGGACATGAAAAATTGAATCCTATAGAAGGATGCCATTATCTCTTATAACTCTTAAAGATGTATAGGATAGAAGATACAACTACTGAAAGAAAAATCAAAAGGCATGATCACTAGAAGGTTATGAATATTTTACAAGAGCCTTTTCAATGTAAAGCGACTCATTCAAGGGGGGGGGGGGGGGGACCCCACACATCCCTCCCAATTTCCCTGCAAGGTAACCAGTCGGGGTTAGGACTTGGCCATCATGCTAACCCTGCAGCTTCTAATATAGTGATCCACTTGACTGGAGACAATTACGCTAGTCAGGATTTTGGACCTCGCTGGATACCTGATCCAGGTCAGTGGTTTTAAAACTAACCAGTCAAAAGTTCCAGCATGACAGCAAAGCAGCTAAATCCACATCAGCAGCTTCCGGATTTTTCCACTTCTAGTGCACCCATCAAGGAGCCCAATTCATTCGGACACATTGGCTGAACAGCCACAGAACTCAGAGCCAGTATACGCACCCAGATGGAAATGAAGGCGCTCCCATCTGCTGTCCGGGGGCATCCACATGGCAAACTGCAAAATGCTGTGTGATTTCATGCATGTCTTCATAGTTGAAAAATGTGTTGAAGCAAGATTTGTCTATAAAAAGATAAGAATTTTGTTACATTCCACATCAAAAATGAATAAAACCAACGATTCTGCAGCATGAAGAAAAAAAACACAACATAAATCTAGTGATCTGCCAGATGATCACTCCCAACTGGCAGTGATCACTGACTAGGTATCCTGTGTTAATCATCTTCTGTGACATCCCTGCTGCTGTCACTGCAATGCACATTATAATGCATGTTAGCACTCGCATGTTGGGGACTCTTTCACAGCAAGACACGTCATAAGAGCTGATCTGCAAAGCAATGGATGCAGGGCAAAACAGCCAATAAATTGTACAGAAAATCAAGGAAAATGATTCAATTCAGTGTTACATGGGCAGAGCCATGGTTGAAATATATTATAGGTAGACCCGGCTCCAAGTGTATGTCACTACCTCTGATGACAAAAAAGGAGGCACTCACCAGACAATAAGGTCTTTGATGTTTGCGGAGGAGCACTTAAATGGTTAAGAGCAGAGGTCTCCAAACTTTCCAGACAACAGGCCAAGTTTACTGCCCTTCAGCTTTTTTTTTGGGGGGGGGGGGGGGGGGGGGAATAGGGAGTGTCAGTGTGGCCAGTGGGAGTAGTAACAGTCTTGGCATGGATGTCCCATCGTTGGGATCAGTGGGGGGATTACTGCCTCATTGTTGGCATCAGCAGGGGGGGAGATAGTGCCTGATCTCCTAGATTGTAAGCTCGAAAGAGCAGGGCCCTCGAACCCCTCGTGTAGTGTATTGTTACTGTTACTGTCTTGTCTCATGTTCTGTCCCCCTTGCTACTGTACAGTGCTGAGCAAACCTTTTGGCGCTATAAAAATACTGTATAATTATAATAATCATTGGCATTGGGGAGAGGGGAATAGTATCCCATCGTTGGCATCAGTGGAAGGAATAGTGTCCCATTACTCAGGTCAGTTGCAGAAGTACTGCCCCATCATTGAGGTCAGTTGGGGGTGGGAAAATGGTGCCCAAGGCCTGGATAAAAAGCAAGCAAAAAAGGACCACAATGGGCCCCCAGTTTTGGAGACCACTGGTTAAGAGCATTAAATACAGCCATTGCATTGAGAGAAAAAAAAAAATCCCCATCAGGACTTAAGCAGTTGAGGTTAATAAAGTTAACGATGCACTATGGGACCCGTGTTACAGTGGTAGTAAACTCGTTTTTGGGATTTTTACCCACCGGTGAGCTTTTACATACAGCTTACCTTTGGGTAAAATGAGTATCTTCTAAACATGCACCATTTAGGAGATATTCCATCATGCACCAGCCGATGACGTCACAGGCACATGCGCACTGAAGGAACAGCACTCGTACAGTTTCTTCAGAGCTCTGTGCAATGCCTGGGACTCCCACTCTTGCTGCGTGTCAAGGTAAGCATTTCATAATGTGCTAGTGTGCATTGCATACTAGCAAATTACCGTATTTTTCGCTCCATAAGATGCACTTTTTTCCCCCAAAAAAGGGGGGAAAAATGGCAGTCTTATGGAGCGAATATAAAGCGGCCGGCCCGGTATTTCTGCCGCCACCATGTCAGAATACCGGGCTGGCCGCTCAGCTGTTCTCTCCTGCAGGGCCTTATCTGTTCCTTGCTCCAGCGCTGCACAGTCTTCCTGCGCTGGCTTCTGTGACAGCCGGGTGCCCACTGTGCATGCGCTGCGCTTTGTGAATGGTCCGGTGTCTTCTGGGACACATAACAGGTCCCAGAAGGCACCGGGCCATTCACAAAGCGCAGCGCTTCTCGCGCATGTGCAGTGGGCACCCGGCACGGGAAGAAGAGGGAAGGACAACTCCGCAGAAGTGGGAGCGGGTACCTGTCAAAATTCAGGTACCCGCTCCCCTCCCTCCCCAAAGGTCAGCAGTCTCTGGTTATTCCCTGCACTGTCTGCAGTCTCTGGTCATCTGTACTGTGTGTCCCTGGTATTTTCCCTGTACTGTGTCCGCAGTCTCTGGTCGTCCCCTGTACTGTGTCCGCAGTCTCTGGTCGTCCCCTGTACTGTGTCCGCAGTCTCTGGTCGTCCCCTGTACTGTGTCCGCAGTCTCTGGTCGTCCCCTGTACTGTGTCCGCAGTCCATTGGTTGAGAATATTTTTTCTGGTTTTTCGCCTCTAAAACCTAGGTGCGTCTTATGGTCAGGTGCGTCTTATGGAGCGAAAAATACGGTATATTGCCTTGCAGGGGTTTTTTTTTTTTTTTTTTTTTTTTTTTTTATATAAAGCTTTACTTCTTTAATACCCCTTTAAGGCTATTGTCTCCTGAAGACCAACATCACTCCATCAGGAGAAGATGGTCTTCAAGCCTTAACAGGTCCCCCAGTGCATTCTGTTACTATTGTTATAACATGGACCACTCAAGTCTTGTAAAAGGAGGCTTTTTCTCCCCCCCAAGAAACAGGGGTGGCCGTATTTGAGGTTCTTAACCATGAAATGTTTCAAAAAGTCCTTCAACCGTGATGAACTTTTGTACCAGGCGCTCCTTTGTATACATCCAAGAATGCTTGTTTGGGGCCATCTTGCATGGAGTCAACCTGATTCACCCAAAAAAGCCAGACTGCCACACTTACTGGCAAGCTGTGGTGGGGACCATGAAATCAAGACATCACCAGACCCCCTTTGTAGGTGGCCAAAAACAGCTTTAACAGGTGAGAACACTTTACTCAACATAAGACTGGCCATGCACATGAGACAAGCCATGTTTGCTCATTACCAATGCAAAGCCGTACTTCCTGCTTAGCGATGCAGAGAAACAACCAAGTTTTACAGTTCCTCTTTATGCCTCACTCAATTTTATATGGCCATTTCACAAACCATACAAAACAAAAAGCACAATTAAAAAAAAAAAAACCCCAAAAAATTAGCATCTTACGATTCAGGCCAATGTCATGGTACGTCAGGATCACTGGTCTATTTCCTTTTGGGACGCCACGCATTGTGACATGCAGCACACCATGAGCAGTCTCAATATCATGCTCCTACAGGGAAAAAAAAAAAGGGAAGTTGCACATGTAATAAAATGTTTTTCACCTCCTACATCAGGATTTAAAATTACAAGCCTACATAGCACTTTTTACCCTCCTGGTGCATAAGCTGCAGCCCTTGGTGCCCACATAGCCCCTGCAGTAACTACAGAGCTGGATCATTGGTATATAAAAAAAAAAAAAAAAAGGACAGTAAAAGGCATTGATCTCTAGCAGTTTCATCCAATGCTTAACTGTAGGCTTCACAATGTTCTCTCCAACCACACCTATGGCACGTCACTAGTTTCGGACCACCTCCAGTATATCCAGGGTCTGCAACAGTCTTCTGTATTACACACACAAATGATCTGTGGCCGCCTAGGGATTTCAAAGGCTGCAGCGGAGGTCCCACCATCTATGGTAAATTGGCACCTGCTGCTCTAAAAACGAGAGTCTCATAGCAAGGTTACAGGCCATCTACTAACTAGCATGGACTTTGATGGCCAGTCCAATTTCAGAATGGCGCAGTTCCTACTATCAAGCTTGATATTAAGCTCCACATGCTTAGTGCAGAGTCAAAGTGAGGACCGCTTTCTTCAAAATTTATTCAGAGCACTTCCTTCCCCCAAATACGAGAATACATCATGCAAAATTAAACTATGTCAAAATACCTCTGTCTTTACTAGTCTTAACTAGTGATGCACTAATATATAAGCTGCCAAAAATTCGTCCGAAAACCGTTATTTTTGCCATTTGGGGAGGAAAAGAAAAAAAAAAAAAAAAAAAAAAAAAAAAAAAAAAAAAAAAGTGCAGATAATGCGCAATTATGCAAATTTAAGTTTAGGTTGGTTACTCCACTGGATCTACCAACAAGAACTGTATGTAGTATGAAAGTCTACCCCCTACTACATGGAGTAGGGAGATTATCTAGAGCAGCGCTCACCAAATGGCATACCATGGTCCAGATCCAGACCCAGACCGAGTGACAGTCCTATTCAGACCACGTCCACCACTTAGCAGCTGCTTGTCCTCTCCCAAGTCTCCTGCTCTACCGCCACCATCATCCTCACAGCAGGGCAGGGGAGATGCTGCAGATCTGCACAGAGAACGAGAGTCTTTTCAAACAATCGGGGAATCGCCCGCTTGTTAACCTAGTAAGTTCGGCAGCTCCGGCCCTCCATTCAGATATGCAGCACCTCTTGTCCCTACCCTGCTGTGAATGACAGCAGCGACTGGGCAGGAGACTCGGGAGAGCACACCTCAGGCTGGTAAATGTGTCTGCCCTGACGAAGATAGGACTGTGCAGGGTAGACTTGCATTGAAAGGGGCACTGTGGCGTAAAGGGCACGGCAATGTCAAGGAGGGCTGTGACATGAAGAGGAACCAAGGACACTGTGGAACGGCTTTAAAAAGGGAGGTACTGTCATGTTAAGGGGTTGTGATGTGAAGGAGGGGGGCCGCGCCCTCCCCCCAGTACACTAATGCAAAGAAGGGGCTGTGATGTGCCGGTAGAAAGTTTTACTTCAAGACCCCTTATCTAGAGAAAGGTTGGGAACAGGTCTTTAGTGTAGGCAGCATGTGTGGCTGTGCATGCTCCACTCATGGGTGCAGAGGGAGTGCTATGCAGTTCTCCATACTCTGTTTGGGGTATTTATGGGGTGGGCTAGAACAGCAGGAAGGAAGTACACACTCCTTATGATGCATATAGTAAAGTGCACCTGTCACTTTGCCAAGTACAGGTTCACTTTAAACCAGGAGTTAGACCGGCTCCCAATTTCTCCATACCAGCAGTCTGTGTTGCCATAGCTTCCCTACATCCAATTTTTCTACCCAATAGTGAAGGAAAATTTTATTAAAAACTCATACTATCAAACCCTGTAAGCCCCCCCCTCAATTAAATGTCTGACTAGTAACTTCTTATGACAGCACATCGATGTGATATAAAAATGATACACCGGTAATTACAATGCTTTTGGTTCCATGTAGCGTTGTCCAAGAAGTAAATCGTTTTTGGGAAAAAACAATATAGGAGGAAGGGGAAGACGACGGGCTGGGGGGGAGATTTGTTAAGAAAGGTGGAGGGTATAAAAATGGAGAAAAGAGGAGGGGTGCCAAAAATGGAGGAAAAAAGTGGGGAGTGGGGGGGAGGGGCTGAAGCACCCCCTCCCCCATGGGTCCCAGGTTGGACCCAACGCTGCGGCATCTGTAAACCTAGGCATAGTAGAAATTAAGTTAGCCGAGAGTCTTTTATTGAAAACTGTCCAATGAAGACCTGCTTATCGCCAAAGTTGGTGAGCCATACATTCATAATAGTTATTTGTGGCTGGCAGAAACTGATTGGAGGAAAATCTACCCCTTTCTTTCATGGTTGTAAATGGCAAATATTGAAAAAAAAAATAAAAAAATGGCTTACTCTAGTTTTAACTCTTCTTTCCAGGCCAAGTTTAAAAATTAAACTGGAAATCAGAATGGCTGCAACAAGCCATATCAATAGTTCTACGTTTCCACACATGGGGGCAGATTTACCAATCAGTAAAATTATCCATATCTATGAGGACTTACCGAAGCCTTCAATGACAAACAGATGTGATCGACATCCAAGTAAGCCATTGGGAACAAGTAGGTTACTTCTCCCGCTCGGCAGTGCAGACACTCGAAGAAACATTTGTAACAGTGAAGTGGTGGGGATTAGTTTCGTACTAATTGGATTCCAGCATTTAATAAGGATCACAGGTCACGGGAAACTCACCAACGACACACGTACGCAAGTTACATAATCACTCCTCTAAATACTACAGTGTAAACAAGTTATTAAGTGCAGGTTCACAGAAGCATTCCTCTGCATTTCATTACTGTCATTAAAGTATTAAACCCAAAAGGCTTTCTAGTATGTATGGCATCAGGCCAGTGCAGTCTTCTGAAATTTGGAAATCTATAGCAAAAACTTTCTTGAGGTCCTGCCAGTAACCGCACTTCCCACTGGAAGTGGCATGTTTTGTTGCAGGCTGGCACTAAGACACGGGATTGAAATGTTAGCAGCATTTTCAGCCTGCTCTGCGCACTACCCCAGGTGGCCTTTGGGCTGCCAATCAGGTCTATTAGACAGACATCCCAATGGCCAACTGACGAGAACACTGCCGCCAAGTGCAACCAAACTGATAGGAGGTATGGAGGAGCTCAGCTATGAGGAGATTAAGGGGGGGGGGGGGGGGGGGGGGGGGGAAGATATGATCTCCATGAATAATACATAAGGGGGGGGGATATGATCTCCATGTATAATACATAAGGGGGGATATGATCACCATGTATAATACATAAGGGGGGATATGATCACCACGTATAATACATAAGGGGGGATATGATCACCACGTATAATACATAAGGGGGGATATGATCTCCACGTATAATACATAAGGGGGGATATGATCTCCATGTATAATACATAAGGGGGGATATGATCTCCATGTATAATACATAAGGGGGGGATATGATCTCCATGTATAATACATAAGGGGGGATATGATCTCCATGTATAATACATAAGGGGGGATATGATCTCCATGTATAATACATAAGGGGGGATATGATCTCCATGTCTAATACAGAAGGGGGGGGATGATCTCCATGTATAAGTACATCAGTGGTTCATATAGTGAACAAGTTCTTCACCCTGTAGTTCTGTATACTCGAGTTATATATAGTGTAGAGTTATTCACCCCGAGTAATCACAGAGGACAAGGGGGCGCTCTTTACGTCTGGAGGAAAAGAAATTTAATCTCAAAAACACGAAAGGTTTCTTCACAGTAAGAGCTGTGAAAATGTGGAATAGACTCCCTCAAGAGTTGGTTGTGGCCAGCTCAGTGGATTGCTGTAGGAAAGTCCTGGATTCTTTCTTGGATAAACAGAATATAACTGGATAACATTTATAGGGAAAGTTGATCCAGGGAATATCCAATTGCCTCTCGGGGGATCAGGAAGGAATTTTTTTCCCTGCAGGAGCAAATTGGATCATGCTTTGCTGGGTTTTTTTTTTTGCCTTCCTCTGGAAGAACTGTGGGTGTAGGATTATAACTTTAATTTTTTTATGGTTGAACTAAATGGACTTCTGTCTTTTTCAGCTAAAGTAATTCTGTGAGGCAGTAACTAAAGCCTAGTACACACGAGGGGGACCATCGCCATCGGACAACCGATTGTCTGATTTTCAGTCAAGGTCCGTACCATGTCAGAATGGTATGGTAAGAAAATTCTCAACCAACAAAGCCAAACTGCTTCAGACTAGCATAGTAGAAGTGTAGGGTTGTGCCTTGCTTCTGATCATGCATATTTTTTCTATGCGATTTCTGTACAACTACTGCACACATTAAAAACAAAACAAGGATGTTGAGTTTACGTAGAAAATTTAAAACCTTTCTAGCTTGCCCCTTCAGCTTTTGTTGTCCAAAAAGTCGTAATCTGCTGTTAAAAGCACTAACAATTAGAAAACTGTTCCTTGTACAGAAGTTTTCATACAATTTTCTTGCAGAGGCCATTAGATTTATTAGCCAGCAACAGGAAAACAGGACACACGGGAGATGAGGAAAGCTTGTGTGTGGCAACAGGAGGCGTCTACACCATCACCCTTCTGGAGGAGGCCTATAATCACAAAAGATACAGCTTTGCGTGAAAAGGGACTCTATTTAATTTGTCTTGTATGGTTGAACATATTTTCTTTATGTTGCCTGCAGCAGACATCCACCTACTCTTGAGTGTTTGGAGTGGTCACACCTACATGTCCTGCCAACCTTAAGTCTACTTCCATTTTTGTCTCTGAACCATGAAGGAGAAAAAGCAGGGGGAAATGACCAGAAACCTCTAGAACATAGGCACATTACATAAGGAAATATCCCATACTACTAAACAGAAAATATAATCTCACCTGCCCATCAAAGTCTTCAAAGCTCCGACCGGCATTCTAGGAGGTAAAGCAGAATATATAAGAAAAAAAAGCAACCTAAACATCAGAAAATTAAGGGAACGGAAAGGGAGGAACGGAAAGGGAGGAACGGAAAGGGAGGAACGGAAAGGGAGGAACGGAAAGGGAGCAACGGAAAGGGAGGAACGGAAAGGGAGGAACGGAAAGGGAGGAACGGAAAGGGAGGAACGGAAAGGGAGGAACGGAAAGGGAGGAACGGAAAGGGAGGAACGGAAAGGGAGGAACGGAAAGGGAGCAACGGAAAGGGAGGAACGGAAAGGGAGGAACGGAAAGGGAGGAACGGAAAGGGAGGAACGGAAAGGGAGGAACGGAAAGGGAGGAACGGAAAGGGAGCAACGGAAAAGGGAGGAGCAACCTGCTGGCTGTGCAGTGTGGTAGATGTGAAGCAACCACAAGACTGCCCACCATGCCCTGCAGCATATACTTAAATTTTCTTTATTTCCACTGCTTTGCACAATGCAAGGCATGGTAAGAAATACCCAGCACTTCTGAATGTGAATGAGCATGCAACTCACTATGTGACCATAAAAAGTGAACTAAGCTGCATGGGGAAAAACGCTTGGTAGAAGTTCACCTTTAATTACTATAAATCCCCCTCATTGAGTGCAGGCCACCTCATCTTGTGCCCACCATTACCCTTAATCCCACAATCTTTACAGTTTAATCCCATTGGGATCTGGAGAACCTGGCTTCACAAAAATGTCTTCGCCAGGTCCCCTCCTTACCTGGATGCAGCAGTTCTGTTCATTCCAAAGAGGAGCCATACTCCTGGTGGACTATTCATTCCTATAGCCATACACTTGCAGCCTCCAGTGGTCCTGCAGAGTATATTGTTCCCGATAGGAATGAATAGAGCCATGGCACCAAGAGGACCCAACAAAGACATTGTAAAGAAATCTGGGGCCAACCCAGCGAATATCAATGGATTGAGGACAAAAAAAAAAAAAAAAAAAACAGACAGACAGTTCTTTCCTTTCCATACACTGTTCTAAACCCCCCCCCCCTACACTTTGGGGAAGATTTACTAAAACTTGAGTGCAAAATCTGGTGCACCTGTGCAAAGCAGCCAATCAGCTTCTAATTTCAGTGTGTTCAATCATCTTCCAGGTTTTATTGGCAAAGCTTAAATTGGTTTCTATGCAAGGCTGCACCAGACTTTGCACCATGCAGTTCTAGTAAATCAACTCCTTTAAGCAGGGCTCAACAAATCCCAGGCGCTAGGCCGCTGTTGTCAGCTGTCTGCTTCAGCCTCCCATTTGCTGACTTAGCTATAGTTGAAAGATGGATTAAAAGGAGAGGTAATCAGTTCTGTACCCTGCCCCCCCCCCCCCCCCCCCCAAGGCAGACAGATTGCTGTCCTTTGGCCCTTCACCTCAATCTGTGATCAGCTGTGTCCAATTGCAGAAGCCCTTTACCATGTGATCAGCTGTGTCCAATCACATCAAAAAAGAAAAACATTTTTTATATAGGTACAGTATTGCATGACTGCACAATTGTCATTCAAAGTGACAGCGCTGAAATTTAGCCTGGGCAGTAAGGGGTGAATGTGCCCAGTAGGCATGTGGTTAAAGCAAAAACTTACAGAAAAAAAAAAAAAAAAAAAAAAAAAAAAAAAAAAAAAAATAAACACTGCAAATTTTTGAAAGGCCATAAATTAAGCTGAACCGGTACAATGAATTGTCAATGGAACAAGCCTGAAAAATACAAAAAGCTTGTTGAAGATCTGACGTACCAGTCCTCCACTGGCACAAGTACAATGAAGATCCCATCATGCAAATTAGGCCAACAGAGCCATGCTTGTTCAATTCCAATTCATCAAATCGTTAATGTCAGAAGCACAGGGGATGTGGGGTTACCAGGAAGAATCACATAAAACACCAACGAGTTTCTGACACGATATATTAAATACTACAAAACGACATTATCTGGATGAACATTGTGAACAAAAAAAAAAAAAAAAAAAAACCACACACCTTGACACACACGGGTGGAGGATACAAAATTTCAGCATGCCAAGGGGATTAGTCAAGGTATAGAGTGCCATTTTGCTTTTCCCCATCTTGCACTACCTACTCAAAACAGACTATTTGGCTGCCAAGAGAGCCTGTCACCCTAAGCAATTAAGGGGCCCCTTCTCCATTCCTTCCCATACACCCCCAGCCCCCTTTTTCATGTTCCCCCCTCTAGACTGCAATCACTTTGGTGGCAGACCAGCCTCGTTTCCATGAACTAACCACAAGACTGTTCCTCCTCCGTTAACTCCATCTTTCTGCAGACCCCTTAAGCATTTACACATTCTCTCCCCCCCCCCCCCCCCCCCCAAAGAATGAGGCTCAAGATACCTTACCATTGCACAACCGATCTACCTATGGGTTCAATAGCCATTAAAGTAAACTATAAGCAAAACGTAAATTTTGGAGTAAGGTGGTTATAATCCAGATTTTTTTTATAGCCATCTGTGTGCCATTGGGGAGATTTCCGTTCACTTCCTGCCCAAAAGCCAAACAGGAAGTGAGGAAATCCCCACAAAGGGAATTTTTTGGGGACCCCCAGAACTAGTGTCCCCATTGAAAGATTTCCCTTCCATCGCTTTTCTGGGAACAACCCAAAATTTGGGATTTTCGGTCACCTTCAAATGATCATGGTAAACAGGACAAATAGAGAATGAATCTCCCTAATAATAAAAATCTGACAGGGGTTCTAATCCACCTCCACTCTGTCTTTGGTGCATTCAGATTTGAGCCCTAAAAGCCCCTGCCTCTAATTTCCTCTAAAAGCCTTAAAACACACAACAGTACAATCAGTCTGTATTGCAGTAAAGCATGCTTGTTATACTCACTGTGGAACCTAAGGGGTTAATCCTCTGCATTGGGTAAAAAAGAAGGTTTGATCCTGTCTTCTCCGATTCTCCCCTTCTACTGTTCCTAAACCTTCTGATAGAACAGAGCTTTGGAGGCAAGCTGCACATGCTCAGTTTGGAATGTATTGCTAGAGTTTTTTTTCCCTCTCCTTGGGAGGGTGCATGTGATCAACACAAGGCCAATCAGCTTTGTCCAGACAAAGGGTCAGTGGTCATGCAGCCTCAAAGGACAATCAGGGGAGAATGAAAACTCCTACAAACTTTAACCAGTTTGCTGGACACTGACAGAAGTCATAAGACTGCTCTAAATGCAGACGAGAAGAGGTATTTAGCAATTTATATTTACTAAAATAATTGCATTTCCATGTTCTGTGTACTGTGGGAGGCCAGATCTAGTGAACGCAAGGTCCGGGGAGGCCAGATCTAGTGAACGCAAGGTCCGGGGAGGCCAGATCTAGTGAACGCAAGGTCCGGGGAGGCCAGATCTAGTGAACGCAAGGTCCGGGGAGGCCAGATCTAGTGAACGCAAGGTCCGGGGAGGCCAGATCTAGTGAACGCAAGGTCCGGGGAGGCCAGATCTAGTGAACGCAAGGTCCGGGGAGGCCAGATCTAGTGAACGCAAGGTCCGGGGAGGCCAGATCTAGTGAACGCAAGGTCCGGGGAGGCCAGATCTAGTGAACGCAAGGTCCGGGGAGGCCAGATCTAGTGAACGCAAGGTCCGGGGAGGCCAGATCTAGTGAACGCAAGGTCCGGGGAGGCCAGATCTAGTGAACGCAAGGTCCGGGGAGGCCAGATCTAGTGAACGCAAGGTCCGGGGAGGCCAGATCTAGTGAACGCAAGGTCCGGGGAGGCCAGATCTAGTGAACGCAAGGTCCGGGGAGGCCAGATCTAGTGAACGCAAGGTCCGGGGAGGCCAGATCTAGTGAACGCAAGGTCCGGGGAGGCCAGATCTAGTGAACGCAAGGTCCGGGGAGGCCAGATCTAGTGAACGCAAGGTCCGGGGAGGCCAGATCTAGTGAACGCAAGGTCCGGGGAGGCCAGATCTAGTGAACGCAAGGTCCGGGGAGGCCAGATCTAGTGAACGCAAGGTCCGGGGAGGCCAGATCTAGTGAACGCAAGGTCCGGCGTTTAGTAACACTAATTTTTCCTGGAGTAGTCAATTTCTGGCACGTTCAAAAGGGATACTGCAAATTAATAAAAATATTGTCTATATATAAAAAGGAAACACAGCAAACATTTAAAACGAAAAAACTTTTTGGGTTCAATGTAAAGGCACCATAGTTTTGCCCTGCACAGAAAAGCACAGGTTGACTTTACAGCCATCTACAAACATTACACAGCAGCTGCCATTGCATGCAAAGTCTTCTCAGAGACTATTTAGGAAATTCATCCTGATCTTTTGCCAGCCACTTTGGTCAGAAGACATCATGGATTGTCTACAGACAGACCCAAGTGATCATGGTGGGAGCAGCAGAGGTAGCTGAAGTCTTACCTTATTGGTCAGCAGAGGTTTTATCTCTGTCAGTTGGACATCCTGCAGTTCATCCATGTTTGAGATTCGGCAGAAGAACACAGATCTGCAATCCTGGAACACAGGAAAAAAAAAAAAATAAATAAAAATGACTGGTTAAAACCAACATCCGCGTAATGTGCAGATCATAAGATGGAACATAAACCTGCAGCACATCCCGAGGCACGCTGGTTAAACGCTCAGCTTACACGGTATCATTTACAGATTACAGCCAAGTATCTCAGAGCACAGAGACTTTGCAATTCTTGTAAAAAAAAAAAAAAAAAAAAAAAAAAAAAAAAAAAAAAGTGTATTAAAATGTAATGATAGCCACTCTACTAAAACTAAGTCAATTATTACCTGGAGTGATCACAGGTTAACAGAGGGAAAAGAAGCTGCACTACAAAAAATGCAGCCGAATGAAAGAAAAAATTTAAGAGCCCATTAAAAGCTAAAAAGAAAACCAGTTTTTGTGGCAATATTCACCTTCAGTCCTGAGATTTCCCCCTGCAGGAGTCTTTCCTGCTGCTAGATGTCCTTAGTCTGCTGGCCAGCATCATTCAACACACTTCCAGAGCCCAGGTCACACTGGACCTGCCCCAGCCTGCAACTGGATAGTGAATGGAAAAACAGCAGAGTGCTGAACTTGCCTCTCTCCTCCTATCAGCGTGGTTTTCGTTAGCACGGAGTCAAGGCTACCAATGCCTAGCTAGCCCTTTAGAGTGACCCTACGTGAAGGAAAAGGGTTCCTGCGAAGGAAGCATCTTAATACTTACCTGTTCTGCGTGTTAAATCTTTGTTCCCAGTGCTGCCGCTATTTGACCCTTCCAGGTGTATCAGCTAATGTGCCCCCCTGCTAGACACTATGGTTCCTCCCACAAATGCCTATTAGTCTGCATCCTGTAGTGACTTTGGTTTTGGCAGGAGAAACAAATGCATATTGAGGTCAATCATCTCCTTGGGGACAGAGTGGTCTTTAAAAAGTGTTACTAAACCCCGGACCCCGCGGTCACTGTATCCGCTCTCCCTTCGGACCCCGCGGTCACTGTATCCGCTCTCCCTTCGGACCCCGCGGTCACTGTATCCGCTCTCCCTTCGGACCCCGCGGTCACTGTATCCGCTCTCCCTTCGGACCCCGCGGTCACTGTATCCGCTCTCCCTTCGGACCCCGCGGTCACTGTATCCGCTCTCCCTTCGGACCCCGCGGTCACTGTATCCGCTCTCCCTTCGGACCCCGCGGTCACTGTATCCGCTCTCCCTTCGGACCCCGCGGTCACTGTATCCGCTCTCCCTTCGGACCCCGCGGTCACTGTATCCGCTCTCCCTTCGGACCCCGCGGTCACTGTATCCGCTCTCCCTTCGGACCCCGCGGGTCACTGTATCCGCTCTCCCTTCGGACCCCGCGGTCACTGTATCCGCTCTCCCTTCGGACCCCGCGGTCACTGTATCCAGTCTCCTACAGTACACACAACATAGAAATGCAATTATTTTAGTAAATATAAACCTTTTCTAAAGGCTGCCGAGCGTTGTGACGACAGAGCCCCTCCCCTACGTGTTACGCCACAGGGTCACGTAGCTTCATCAGGGAGAATACCTTATAAATGCTCGTGTAAAATTGGAAATTTTAAGCCAATAAAAAAGGTTTTAAAAAAGGATACAGCTCTGTTTGTGATCTTTTCCCCTATGAATAAATGCCTGAGGAGGATTGATGAGGAGGAAAAAGGTGGAATTATTTGGGAGTGCAGACCCATTCAAGCCGGATAATAGCACCAGTCCTAATAGAGGGGCACAAGCTGTATATGACCTCACCTAGCGGTTTGGTCATATAAACCAAATCTGGTGGAAGGGATCTGATCACATTATTATTATTATTATTCAGGATTTATAGAGCGCCAGTTTGCTCAGCGCTTTACAATATAATGGGAGACAATACAGTTCAATACAAGAGGGATAGGAGGGCCTGATCCTTTGAGCTTACAATCTAGGATATTATTTTTGATCACAAGAGGTGTTGGAATAATCGTTCGGTCATCAGAGGACAAGGGGGCGCTCTTTACGTCTGGAGGAAAAGAAATGTAATCTCCAAACACGGAACGGTTTCTTCCCAGTAAGAGCTGTGAGAATGTGGAATAGACTCCCTCAAGAGTTGGTTCTGGCCAGCTCAGTGAATTGCTTTAAAAAAAAAAAAAAAAAAAAAAAAAAAAAAAAAAAGTCCTGGATACTTTTAGATACACAGAATATATATATACACATAACTGGATACGAACATTTTTAGGTATGTGATCCAGAGCATATTCGATTGCCTCTCGGGGGATCAGAAAGGAATTATTTTTTTCCCTGCAGGAGCAAATTGGATCATGCTTTACTGGGTTTTTTTTTTCCTTCCTCTGGATCAACTCTGGGTATAGGAGATTTTTTTTTTTTTTTGTTAAATGGTTGAACTGGATAGACTGTCTTTTTTCAGCCAGACTAACTATGTTAACCTAACAGAAGGATATTCCTTATGGGAAGAAGCTTTCAACTGATTTTTTGGACAGTTTATGGACTTTTTTGCACACTTCTGTTTAATTATCTGATGTAATTTCAGAATCACTTCATTCCCATGTATAATTTTTTGATATGGAGTCTGAACAGTAGGATGGATTGGTACTGGGTGAAGCGCAGCACTTTTAAAGGAGGTTTTTAATCATAACACATTTGTATGGGAGTGTGTATAGTGTGATATGGAGATTCACTATACATTAATATTTTAGTTCTGCATAGCATTTCACAAGAGTCACAGTTAAGGTCACCTGCTATAGTTCCTCAGCGCACGCTACCTTGAAAAATTTGCTTTGCATTGCAACTACATGCATCTCCAAGGTCTGCAGAAAACTGACGTCCTGCAAATGTCACCCCGTGCTCACTCTGATCTTGAGTGGATTACTATAGTCAACCATTAAGACCACGTGAGCTATACTGTGTCCTGCGTCAACCATTAATATCCATGAATCTTTATTCCCGTAGGACCTGGGGGGGCGCCTTGGAAGGGGGAAAATAAAATAAAAAAAAAAAAAAAAAAAAGTGTATGTTCATGCAAGATTTATGTCACCTTCAATGTAAATTCAAGGACATCCACTGCAAAATGCCAGGGAAACCAATGAAACCTCCCAGGAGGCCTCACAACAAGGCGGATTAACCATGTTGTGTCACACAGAGCACAACGGCCGTACAGCTGTCCCTGCAAGTCCTGCCAATACTGCCCCCAATAAAAACGCACAGCACGTAAAATGAGCAAACAATAGTAATTCTATGGAAGGAGTACAATGGAGGATCTATAAAAAAAAAAAAAAAAAAAAAAAAAAAAAAAAACACACACACCACAACGCCAGTATGGACAGAAAGGTGATCGAGGATGCATCATAATATAAAATATACCATAATATGTGGGGACAGAACTATTTAAATATTTACTGGATAACTTTAGTGATAAGACTCCGGGCATTTATAAACAGGTCACCAGGTATTTATTCTATGAACTTCAAGGTAATTTCAAAAGCCTAAAAAAATCAAAGGGTATGCATCATTAAAAAAAAAAAAAGTAGAGAAAAGAAGAACCACCACTGAATTTGATAGACAGATTGAGAATGACACTCTTGAAGACAGATGAGCTCCTGGTGTTGAGAATGAACGTCATACTGCCATTTGAGCCCAAGGCTGGTAGTTTTAGGAATGGAGTATTCAGCATACAAAAAGATGCTCTCCCAAACACTCCCTGTATGCCCAACCCTCAAATCAAAACTCCCCCATATGTCCAAGCTTCTATTAAAACACTCCCTGAATCCCCCCTATCCAGTGCCCAGCAGTGCCTGTATGCCAAACCCTGAAACCAACCCTCCCTGTATGCCCAACCCTTGAATCTATACTCCTTGTATGTCCAACAATCTACCCAACGTTCCTTGTACAGGTGAAACTCAAAAAATTAGAATATGGTGCAAACGTTCGTTTATTTCAGTGCAGCAACTTAAAAAGGTGAAACCAATATATGAGATAGACTCATTACATGCAAAGCAAGATAGTTCAAGCCGTGATTTGTCATCATTGTGATGATTATGGCTTACAGCTCATAAAAACCCCAAATCCACAATCTCAGAAAATGAGAATATTCCATGCAATCAATAAAACAAGGAATGTACATAGAACAATATCGGACCTCTGAAAAGTAGAAGCATGCATATGTACTCAGTACTTGGTTTGGACCCCTTTTGCAGCAATTACTGCCTCAATGAGGCATGGCATGGAAGCTATCAGCCTGTGGCACTGCTGAGGTATTATGGAAGACCAGGATTCTTCAATAGCGGCCTTCAGCTCTTCTGCATTGTTCGGTCTCATGTCTCATCTTTCTCTTGGCAATGCCCCATAGATTTTCTATGGGGTTCAGGTCAGGCGAGTTTGCTGGCCAATCAAGCACAGTAATCCCACGGTCATTGAACCAGGTTTTGGTGCTTTTGGCAGTGTGGGCAGGTGCCAAGTCCTGCTGGAAAATGAAGTCAGCATCCCCATAAAGCTAGTCTGCGGAAGGAAGCATGAAGTGCTCCAAAATCTCCTGGTAGACAGCTGCGTTGACCCTGGACTTAATGAAGCACAGTGGACCAACACCAGCAGATGACATGGCTCCCCAAATCAACACAGACTGGAAACTTCACACTTGACTTCAAGCATCTTGCAGTGTGTGCCTCTCCATTCCTCCATACTCGGGGTCCTTGGGCCTCTCCATTCTTCCTCCATACTCGGGGGTCCTTGGGCCTCTCCATTCTTCCTCCATACTCGGGGGTCCTTGGGCCTCTCTCCATTCTTCCTCCATACTCGGGGGTCCTTGGGCCTCTCCATTCTTCCTCCATACTCGGGGGTCCTTGGGCCTCTCCATTCTTCCTCCATACTCGGGGGTCCTTGGGCCTCTCCATTCTTCCTCCATACTCGGGGGTCCTTGGGCCTCTCCATTCTTCCTCCATACTCGGGGGTCCTTGGGCCTCTCCATTCTTCCTCCATACTCGGGGTCC